CATAATGCTCCTTCCCCATGAAGCCCCTGGCACCAGCTGCCACCCTACAGCCCCTGACAGTTGGGCAGGCTGGACCCCAAGGAGAGGCAGGGCCACCTTGGAGAGAGCTGGGCGTGGTGACCAAGCCCAGAGCCACATTGGCTGAAGAAGGCCAGAGGGAAAACAGGCCCCGAGGGTCACAGGCACACAGGCTCAGTCACCTTCCTCTGAGATAAGACAGATGGACAGACGAAGCTCAGACTATACTCAAGCTCCCCATTCAGTAAGGACAGCCCCTGAGTCCCCCACAGGTCACAGACACACAGGTCCCACGAGTAAGGGGCCCCACCTCCACCTCCTCATAGGGTACAGGGCACAGGTTACACTGCACCTGCCTGGATCGGAGCTGGGATCTCCATTGGGGAGCCCGCTGATACTGGCATCAATTTCCCCTTGCTAAACAGTCCTGTGTGGTTTTCCATTTTCAGGGATAACAATGACTTCAAAACAAACAGCAGTCACCAAAAAGGGTGTAGAGGGCACCTGCACCTTCACCAAAGGTCTGCAGTTCCCTCCTCAAACCAGCAGGCCGAGGTAGGTTCGGTCCAGTCTCCGAATAAAATTCTAAACAGAGCTGGTGGCTCCGGGCCACGTGGCGGCCCTGGCTCCATCCTGGACACTGGAAAAATAAACTTAAGGCCCTCTGCTTAAAGCATTAATGTTTAAGGAGAATTCGGATGGTGAGAGGAGCAAGTCGCTCTCCCTGCAAAGGCTAAAGCCTCTGGGCGCCCTCGGGCCACACCCCGGCTCCCGGACTCACCCTTGTCTTCGCTGCCCCAAGCACCCACCTAGGGCGGCTGCGCTCCTCCCCTCCCCGCCCATACCGGCCCCGCCCAGCGGGGTAAGGCACCTGCCCAACAACAGGTGACGCATTGGGATGAACAAGCGAGGACTGGCAGGGCCACGGCGGAGAGACCGGGAGGGGGCGGCGAAGGGCAAGGCTATCGTCAGCCCCGCCCTCCCGCGGATCGCGGGCTTCCTGTGGGTCGCCAAGAGCGCAGCTCAGTGCAGACCGAGTTTCCGGGCGCCTCCCGCTTCCTAGGAGCCCACACACCGCGGCACCGCCCCCGAGCCCAATCCAACCGGACCCGGCCGCGGAGGCCGACACCGCCCTCGGGGGGCCTGCTGTGGGAGCCCGGAGAGAAAGTGCGACACACAGTGCGGTGGCGCGAAGTCGGGGCGGCACGCACCGGGTGTGATCGGTGACTGGCGAAGGTACACTTTTAAAATGCGTGCCAGAGCCGGAGGCTGCGTTGCAAGCCCGTAATCGCAGCACTCCGGAGCTGAGGCACGAGGGTCACAGGGAGTTCAAGGCCCGCCAGAATTGCATAGTGGGACCCTGTCTCAAAGAATCCTATGACAGTAACGCTATGAGCTACCTCAGAGTCCTCCCCCTGGCCGTTGGCGCACTGGTCCATCGTCCCCACCACTTCTGGAAGCTCTGGCTGGTTCCTGCCTGACGTCCTCAGGGTGCTGTCCTCGAAGCTTAGATGTCCTGAGTGGATTCTGGACTTTGACCTTGCCTGGTCACTGTGACCTTGGGCAAGATCTGAAGGTCACATGGTGCCAGATCCAGGGGATGAGGTGGCTGAGGACATAATAATGTTTTTATTTGACAGGAACTGCCAGGAACATTTGATCAATGAGGGGGTGATCGAAAAATATGGTGAATGTTTACTTTTTAAAAATTCATTACAGCACCTGTCTGGCAAGTACGAGGTTGTGAGTTCAATCCCTGGTACTGCAAAAAAAAAAAAAAAAAAAAAAAAAAATTCTAACAGTAAAACATTGCTATGAATCTCCTCCAATACTTCTCACTCTGGGTTCCTTCAGACAAGCGTGCCAGCCCTGACCACACGCCCTTCACTACAATACACACATTTGGGCTGGTGGGTGCCCTGCCATGTGGGGACAGCTCACCCTGCGTTTCCCAAACCTAAGACCTTATGCCTGCTAATTCACATCAGCCTGCAGATTGGGAAACTGAGGCTGGGAAAGCCTGGGCCTCCCATGACAACAGCAAGGGAGCAAGTCTGAGCTGCTGTCACCATTGTTGCCCAGGGTCCTTCCGGCCAGGTACTCAGGGTCTCTTGGGGCTGTGGAAGGCGCAGGACTCTCAGGTTTCAGGAGAAAGTCCCATTCTTGAGCCTCCCCCTGGGTCCCCCAGCTTCCTCAGGAAGAAATGTGGAAGAAAAACACCCTTTCCTGCCTAAGCAAAAAGCCAGCCAGCCAGGCTGGCTGAACCCTCTACCCCAGGGCTCTGGGGTTCTGACCTGGAGACCTGGCCTCCTCCGGAGCTGCATCTTCCTGCTGCTTTCCTGGGCAGAGTTGCGGACTCAGGTCCAAAGGGAGGATGCACGGGCCTTGCCCGAGCCCATGCCAAGCCGAGCTTAGCCGCTGCATCCTGGGCTGTGCCTGGGATCTCTCTCAGCTCCTGGCAGAGGCTGCAGGAACACAGGGCTCCACACATGGCCATGGCCACTGTGAGCCAGTAAACAGCACAGCCCTCGAGGCACTGACTGCTCTGTGCTTCGGGGCCCAGGCCCCAGCTGCCTTCCAAAGCCAGTTTGTGAAATCAGGTTGCCCAAAAGTGGTATCTCACTTCCAGTGGGAAAACAAGGCCAGATAATGACAGAGAGGCTGCAAAACTGAAATGGCCCCCCTCTGGGGGCTGAACCCAGATGGACTCAGCCTGGTACCCCAGATTCCCAGAACTGCAGTGATACATAGGCCAAGGGACGTCCTACAAGAGCCAGGGCCAAATGGCAGTGATGATACTGACTCCCCGCCCCAGAGCTGTAGGCAAGAGAGCACCGAGAAACCAGCCCTGGCCACAGAGCCAGGCTAAGGGAAAAGCCCAGAGAGACCAATGCTAACTGCCAAGTGGGGTTAGAGACATTTGAAGCCTCGCTGGAAGATTTTAAAAGAAAAACTGTTATGAAGGAAATTATTGGACAATTGAGAAATTTAGATTTGGGTTCCATATCAGAAAGTATAACATGGGTTTTTGAATTTAGTTATAATTATTGGAGTTACATAGTACAAACAGTGAAGTGATGGGCACAATTAACTCTCCAAGAGTTCAGCAAGAACAATAATAATTACCTCTAGGTAGGTGTGATGGCATGCAATCGCAATCCCAGCTCTCAGGAGGCTGAGGCAGGAGGATTGCTCTGAGTTTGAGGAAAGCCTGGGCAACAAAATAGAATTCAAGGCCAATTTACATTACATAGTGAGACTCTGTCTAAAAGAAAAACCCTGATTCCCTGTCCTATGCTCTTGTCTTGCTCCCTCCAGGCCCAGGGATACAGCCAGGGTCCCATCCCAGGGTCTCCCTGCCCCTCCCCAACTCCCAGCTTTGGCCTCAGACTGATGCATTTGGGTGGAACTTGGGTATGGGGATCCTGACAGAGATGGAAATGCTCCCAGACTGGACCACAACCCAGCTGTGGCCTTGGACACGCTCATCCAGCTGTGCTGCTTGGGCTGGGGGGATCTCAGGGAGGACTTGGGGCTACTGATAGCATAAAGATAGGAACTGGGGCCTCAGAGGGAAGCACTTGGGCCCTGCAAGACCTCGTGACATGGGCCAGCCCAGCCAATCAGTGAAGGGGCAGTGAGGGCATCAGGAGGAGTCCCCAGTGAGGGAGGGAGGGTAAGGGCTATGGTGTGGTTGCAGCAGAAGTGGGCAGCAGTGAGGGGCAAGGAGCGATTTGAGTGCCTTCTCCAGCACTACACACACACACCCATCTGGTCCGGCCAGGGGACCTGGGACCCAGCACCAGTGTCACTGTTCCTGCAAGACGAATCTTATCAGGGATTGGAGACTTCCGGGCTTCACTCCACTCACCAGCCCAGCCCTCTCTGAGCTCAGAAACAACAAATGTCCCCAGAGTCCTGCAGCCCTACCTGTGTACTGTTGGGGTACTCACAGCAAGGCACTCACAAACCCTGCCAGAACCCTGAAGAAGCAGTGGGGGGCGCTTGGCAGGATGTGCTCCGTGCAGGGCCAGGAGGCATCTGGCTGCAGACGAGCACTGCAGTCTGCTCTTCAGGGCCCTGTTGAGACCCCTTCACTGCACCCCCACACCAGGGTTGGGGAGCAGCCCCAAACCTGCCCCTACAATGCCCCAAGTCCAGAGCACTGACCTGAACCACGGAGGAAAACGCCACACCAGGGCTTGCTTTATGCACAAAACTATTTGAAATATCACATGTGACTATCTGCAGCTATGCATGAGGCAGCAAAGCATGAAGGACTCTCACAGCTAGATCTGGGTCCCCTCCCCAGATCTCTTCTGATGTATGTGCAGAGGGCCCGAATCCAAGACAGTGTAACCACAAACACTTCCAACTTGGACATCTCCGAAGGTACCCACACTGCTCCACACCTGCAGGGCCCTGGCCCTGCAATGCCACCCTCATCTCGGAGTGAGAAGGAGACTGGGACAGGAAGGTCTGGTCCAGTTTTCCAAGTTGCCCAACTTCTTTCCAAAGCCTGGAGCCATGCTAGACCATGCACCAGGACCCTGGGCCCTGCAAGCTGGGATCACATGCAGCACCACCACCACTCCTGCCTTGGCAGGGAGATGCCTCCCACACCTTCACACTGTGGACCAGGAACCTCAATGGGCTCGGGTAGGAAAAGGCTTCCACCAGGCAGGCCTGGAGGGAGCAGAGGGGACCAGGATGTTGTCCAACCCAAGATTACATCCATGATGCAGAAAGGAAGCAAGGTGGGTGGCACCTGAGGCCAAGTGCTTGCAGGCAGAGAGGCTGCACCATGCTCATCTTCATCCCTCCGGAACCACGCCTGAGTGCAGAGTTTGTCTGAGATGCACCTGCCTCCTGCCCACTCAGCAAGGTTCCAACACCCACCTTCAACAGCCTGGGCCAGGGGCTCCTCCACACTGGAGCCACCCCAACCTCATCCCCAAACACAGAATGCCAAGGTACGACCATCAGGGTTAATAAACAGCTTTATTTACCTTGTACAGCATCCACTTCCTTACATTCTCAATTAATTTTGCCATTAAAGTGCCGGAAATTTTCTTAATCATAGTAACATTTGTTAAAAAGAAACCAGAACTATTATCAGGAGCATGGTTCTCACCAATGGAACTTTTCCCTTACAAAACCCAGGAGGGAAGCCCCGCATGTCCAGCCAGCAGGCCGAGTAGCTTGCACACAGATCCCAGTTCCCTGCTCCTGACCGCCTGCCACCCACCTCACCACCGGTAGCCAACTGCTCCAGGCTGCATAGGCGGGGCCACTGGCACAGGTCTCATCCCCAAAGAGTGGCTGCTTCCCACCCTCCCTCAGCAACAAAAGCCCCGAAAGTTATTGCAATGAGAAAAGTGGGTCTCCATTATCCCAACATTAAATTTTCAGTACAAATGAGGGTAATAAACACAAAGCTTGCTTAGTAAACAGGAGCTCTCAGCGTTCAATGCAAAAAAAAAAAACAAAAAACAAACAAAAAAAAAAAAAGAGAAAGAAAACTGAAATCGTAAGGCAAATACTGTTGGCTCTGCCCAGGGCTGGCGAACAGAACCTCACGGAGCACGCTGTCCAGGAGCCCAGGGCGGTGGTGGCCACCCAGCTGCCACCCTGGCACCAGAGCAGCCAGCCCTGCACATCACCGAGGCTACCAGCCTCACTGCACACTCCTCCGCGGCTGAGTCTACACAGGTGCATGCACGATGTGGCTGCTACTCTTTGGCAGACAGTGACAGCTCCACGTCGGGAAGCTGGATACCCACCTTCGTCCCACTGTCATTGCTGGAAGAGGAGGACAGTCGGGACTTCGAGGCCAAGGATGCACCACTGCCCTGCAACTTGCCTGACTCCTCATCGCTGCCGGTCACCTCATAGTGACCTTTGCTCTTCGATCCCAACCCACCAAAGGTACCGAACTTCAGCTTGCCATGCTTGCCTCTCGCTTTTCCACCTTCTGCGGCCAACTCGCTGCCCTCGAGCTCCAATGTCCCCGTTGGGGTGGAAGGTGCAGAGAGCTCCCTGTCATCACTGAAGGAGCTGGAGCGGTGCCTCGGCTTCCTGCTCTTAAACAGAGAGAACTTGCCTTTGGGAGATGCCGTCTCCACCTCCACATCCCCCTCCAGGGAACCCAGGCTGGCCTTGGAGCTCTTCAAGTCCCCTCTGGACCCACAGACAGACGCCTCGGGGGAGCCTGCAGTGCTGCCCTTGCCCTTGGACTTGGAGAAGGTGAACTTTGGCATCTTGATCTTGGATTTCTTTAGCTTTGCCTCAGATTCTTCCCACTCGCCTTCTGCAGCACCAGCCTGTATTCGGGCCTCTGCCTCAGGAAAGGCGACGTCCACGCCCACCTCTCGGCCTACCAGCTCGCGGCTAGAGAAGGTGAACTTGGGGATCTTCATCTTGGGGAATGTTACTTTTCCGGACCCACTCTCTATATGGCCCTGGGACCCCGACATGTTCAGCCCAAGCTCGCCCTCTTTCACACCTTCTTCCAACTTTGGTCCCGAGAAGTGAAGGCCCGCACTTTGAGCCAAGGAGATCTGGGGTCCTTTCCACTCTGCCCCAGAGCCTCTGACACTGAGATTGGGGGCGCTGACACCATCTGACATGTCCATGCCACCTTTGACTTTCGGACCCTTCAAGCTGACAGCAAAATCCGACTCTGGGGAGACAAAGCTTAAGGACGGCCCCTTGACACTGACCTCGGGAGCGGCCCTATAGAGGTCCAGCCCGGAGAGCTTCAGGCTGCCTTGGATGTCAGGACCAGCAACGAGCCCCACTGGGACAGTTGCTGCCACTCCAGGCAGATCCACACCACCTCCGGGCATCTGCAGATTTCCTTCCAGGCCTTGACTGCTGACTCCCGGAAGAGCCCCTTTCACCTCTCCAGTTGCCCCAAGGCTCCCTGTCACTTTTGGTCCCCGAAAGTTCAAGTCCATGTCCTGCGAAGAAAGCCGTGGCCCTTTCAGGCTCACATCCACTCCTTGGAGCTCCCCTACAACTTGTGCCTCCTTGACACCCATGTCCACGTTGGAACCTGGCGTAGAGACACCAAACTGGGGGAGCTTCATTTGGGGAAGTTTAATTCCGACTTCCGGGGCTGCTGAGCTCAGGTCAGGACTGCACATGGAGATCTTGGGACCACTGATGTCACCAGAGATGGCCAGATCTCTCTGCAGGCTTGGTCCCTTCAGTGTCACGTCTGGGGCTCCAACCTCAATGCCTGGCAATTTCATACCATCTCCTCCCACCTGCACCCTCCCAGCTCCACCTCCAAGGCCTAGTCCTGGGCTGTGTGCCTTCACACTGGGAACGGAGGTGTCCAGCTCTCCCTTCAGACTTGGTCCTTTCAAGTTCAGATCAATGTCAGGCCCAGAGATTTTGGGCATACTGAGGCTCATGGAGGGCAGGTCCACACCAGGCCCGGTTAGCACAACCTGGGGCCTTTGGAGCCCAAGGTCTGGAGCGCTCAGGCATCCTTCAAGAGAAGGCAGCTGCACCTCAGCTGCAGTGCCCCCAGCCTCCATGGTAACACCAGGGACGCCAACCTTGGGCACTGAAAACTTGGGGAACTTGATTGTTGCTTCTGGACCTTGCAAATCTACGCCTGGTCCTTGGAGTCCCACGCTGGGGACGTCGCCCTTTATCTTTGGTCCTTTCAAGTCCACACTCACATGGGGCATGGAGACCTGCGGAGTGGAAATGCCAAAAGCAGGAGCTCTGACCTCAGGATCTGGGCCTTCCATGGTGGCTTCTGGTGTGCACAGTGTGGCCTGCACGTTGGGGCATTTCAAGTCCCCTTCTATCTTTGGCCCTGAGATGTCCACACCTGGCATCTTGAACTTGGGGGCCTTCACCTTCACGTCTGGACCCTCCACACTGATCCCTGGTGAAGAGAGGTCCAGATCAGGCGCCTGGATCTCACCCTCCATCTTGGGGCTGGGCAGGGGAACCTCAGCTTTAAACTTAGGTGATTTAATGTCAAATTCTACATCTGGAAAGTACATTTTCCCAAACATAGTCTTCTTGGTTCTGGGGGATTTCATGTCAACTCTGATTGCAGTGTCCAAGCCAGCAACACCAACGTCCATGTCAGGAGCCTTGAGACTAGCATCAATGTCACCCCCGGGAGCATTCAGATCAAAGCCCTGCTTCTTGGTCTTCACCTTAGGCCCACTCATGTGTAGCTTGGGCATCTTAAACTTGCTTTTCTTGCCCTTACCACTAACACCAACCTCAGGAGTTTCCACGCTCAGCTCTACCTCAGGCACGGTCATATCAAGTGAAGGTGGCTTGATGTCAGTTTTAGGACCCTTTGCTCCAAATCCAAATTTGGGTTTCTTAAACTTTGGAATTTTCACATCTGGTCCCTCAATGTTCACATCTGGGCTTTCAGCATGTACATCCAAGCTCGGCACTTCCATGTCAACCTTAGGCCCCTTGAGGTCCACTTCACCACCTTCAATTTTGGGAACAGAAACTCCAATTTGGGGCATCTTCAAGTGCAAATCTACGTCAGGAACAGTTACTTTAGGAGTAGACATGTCCAGTGATGGCAACTTCAAATTAGGGCCACTGAGTTTGGCATCAGGTCCTTCAAAATCAAGATCTGGGCCCTTAAGATCCACTTTGGGGCCTCTGAAAGTACCTTCAATCTTAGGGACAGACACATCAAAATCTCCTTTCACTTTAGGTCCTTTCACATCCAGCTCAACATCTGGCATAGAGATCTTGGGGCCCTTGATGTTCACCTCAGGCATCTTGAACTTGGGGCCCTTCAGTTTTGCATCTGGACCTTCGATATTCACATCAGGAACATCAATGTCCACCTTGGGTACTGAGACATCAATGTCAGCCTTGGGCAGGTTCACATCCACCTCAGGTCCCTCTGCTTTGAAGCCAGGCATGCTGAACTTAGGCATCTTTACCTTGGGCATCTTCAGATGCCAGTCGGAGCCTTTGACATCCACATCTGGAACATCAGTGTCCACCTTAGGCCCTTTGATATCAACATTTGAAACTTTCATTTCACCTTCCACTTTGGGCAGAGAAACATCATCACCCCTCAGCTTTGGACCCTTCAGATTCAGGTCAACTTCAGGCATGGAGATCTTGGGGGCCTTGAGCTGCAAGTCAGGCATCTTGAATTTGGGTCCCTTCAGTTTCGCTTCTGGACCCTGAATGTCCATGTCAGGAGTATCTACATCCACCTTAGGGCATCTGAGATCTCCTTCTAATTTAGGAATGGAAACATCCACATCTCCCTTTACCTTAGGTCCTTTCAAGTTGACATCAATGTCACTCATGGAGATCTGTGGGGTTTTGAAATGGACATCAGGCATCTTGAATCTAGGACCCTTGAGTTGGCCTTCAGGACCATCAATATCCATCTCTGGTCCCTTAAGATCACCTTCCACCTTAGGTAGAGAAAGATCCACATCTGTCTTTGCCTTTGGTCCTTTGAGATTTAAATCAAGGTCAGGCATGGAGATCTTGGGGGCTTTGATGTTCATCTCAGGCATCTTGAACTTTGGACCTTTCAGCTTTCCTTCTGGCCCTTCAATATTCACATCAGGGCCTTCAATGTCCACCTTGGGTACTGAGACATCAATGTCAGCCTTGGGCAGGTTCACGTCCACCTCAGGTCCCTCTGCTTTGAAGCCAGGCATGCTGAACTTGGGCATTTTCACCTTGGGCATTTTCAGGTGCCAGTCGGGGCCTTTGACATCCACATCTGGAACATCAATGTCTACTTTAGGCCCTTTGAGATCCACTTCAGGGCCCTTGAGGTCACCTTCTACTTTGGGCAGAGAAACGTCCACATCACCCTTCACTTTGGGACCCTTCAGGTTAAGATCAATGTCAGGCATGGAGATCTTGGGGGCCTTGATGTTTATCTCAGGCATCTTGAACTTTGGACCTTTCAGCTTTCCTTCTGGCCCTTCAATATTCACATCAGGGCCTTCAATGTCCACCTTGGGTACTGAGACATCAATGTCAGCCTTGGGCAGGTTCACATCCACCTCAGGTCCCTCTGCTTTGAAGCCAGGCATGCTGAACTTGGGCATTTTCACCTTGGGCATCTTCAGGTGCCAGTCGGGGCCTTTGACGTCCACATCTGGAACATCAATGTCTACTTTAGGCCCTTTGAGATCCACTTCAGGGCCCTTGAGGTCACCTTCTACTTTGGGCAGAGAAACATCCACATCACCCTTCACTTTGGGACCCTTCAGGTTAAGATCAATGTCAGGCATAGAGATCTTGGGGGCCTTGATGTTCATCTCAGGTATCTTGAACTTCGGACCTTTCAGCTTTCCTTCTGGCCCTTCAATATTCACATCAGGGCCTTCAATGTCCACCTTGGGTACTGACACATCAATGTCAGCCTTGGGCAGGTTCACATCCACCTCAGGTCCCTCTGCTTTGAAGCCAGGCATGCTGAACTTGGGCATTTTCACCTTGGGCATCTTCAGGTGCCAGTCAGGGCCTTTAACATCCACATCAGGCACATCGATGTCCACTTTCGGGCCTTTGATATCGACTTCAGGACCCTTAAAGTCACCTTCTACTTTGGGCAGAGAAACGTCCACATCACCCTTCACTTTGGGACCCTTTAGGTTAAGATCAATGTCAGGCATAGAGATCTTGGGGGCCTTGATGTTCATCTCAGGCATCTTGAACTTCGGACCTTTCAGCTTTCCTTCTGGCCCTTCAATATTCACATCAGGGCCTTCAATGTCCACTTTGGGTGCTGAGAGGTCAATGTCAGCCTCGGGCAGGTTCACATCCACCTCGGGTCCCTCTGCTTTGAAGCCTGGCATGCTGAACTTCGGCATTTTCACCTTGGGCATCTTCAGGTGCCAGTCTGGGCCTTTAACATCCAAATCTGGAACATCAATGTCTACTTTAGGCCCTTTGAGATCCACTTCAGGGCCCTTGAGGTCACCTTCTACTTTGGGCAGAGAAACATCCACATCACCCTTCACTTTGGGACCTTTCAGGTTCAGATCAATGTCAGGCATGGAGATCTTGGGGGCCTTGATGTTCATCTCAGGCATCTTGAACTTAAGGCCTTTCAGTTTTGCATCTGGACCTTGGATATCCACATCGGGAACATCAATGTCCACCTTGGGTGCCGAGACATCAACGTCAGTCTTAGGCAGGTTCACATCCACCTCAGGTCCCTCTGCTTTGAAGCCGGGCATGCTGAACTTCGGCATCTTTACCTTGGGCATCTTCAGATGCCAGTCGGGGCCTTTAACATCCATATCTGGAACATCAATGTCCACTCTTGGGCCTTTGATGTCAACCTCAGGGCCCTGGAAGTCACCTTCTACTTTGGGCAGAGAAACATCCATATCCCCCTTCACTTTTGGACCCTTCATATTAAGATCAACGTTAGGCATGGAGATCTTGGGGGCCTTGATGTTCATCTCAGGCATTTTAAATTTGGGACCCTTTAATTTTCCCTCTACACCTTCAATGTTAATATCAGGAGTGTCAATGTCCACCTTGGGCCCTCTGATGTCCACTTCAGGACCCTTCAGATCACCTTCCACTTGAGGCAAAGACATATCTACATCACCCTTTATTTTGGGGCCCTTGAGATTCAGGTCAAAGTCAGGCATGGAGATCTTGGGGGCTTTGATGTTTACCTCAGGCATCTTGAACTTCGGACCTTTCAACTTTCCTTCTGGTCCTTCAATATTCACATCAGGGCCTCCAATGTCCATCTTGGGTGCTGAGACATCAATGTCAGCTCTGGGCAGGTTCACGTCCACCTCAGGTCCCTCTCCTTTGAAGCCAGGCATGCTGAACTTGGGCATTTTCACCTTAGGCATCTTCAGGTGCCAGTCAGGGCCTTTAACATCCACATCTGGAACATCAATGTCCACCTTAGGCCCTTTGATGTCAACTTCAGGGCCCTTAAGATCACCTTCCACTTTGGGCAGGGAAACATCAACATCACCCTTCACTTTGGGACCTTTCAGGCTAAGATCAATGTCAGGCATGGAGATCTTGGGGGCCTTGATGTTCATCTCAGGTATCTTGAACTTGGGGCCCTTCAGTTTTGCATCTGGACCTTCGAAATCCACATCAGGAACCTCAATGTCCATCTTGGGCGCTGAGACGTCAATGTCGGCCCTGGGAAGGTTCACATCCACCTCAGGTCCCTCTGCTTTGAAGCCAGGCATGCTGAACTTGGGCATTTTCACTTTGGGCATCTTTAGGTGCCAGTCTGGGCCATGAACATCCACATCTGGTACATCCACATCTACTTTGGGCCCTTTGATGTCAACTTCTGGCCCCTTCAGATCTCCTGCAAGTTTGGGAAGAGAAACATCCATGTCACCTTTCACCTTGGGTCCTTTTAGGTGTAAGTCCACATCTGGCATGGAGATCTTGGGAACTTTGATGTTCATATCAGGCACCTTGAATTTGGGGCCTTTTAAACCTCCTTCTGGACCTTCCACACTGACTTCTGGACCTTCAATGTTCAGAGTTGGAGCACCTATGTCAATGTCTCCTTTTGGTATATCCACAGACATATCAGGCCCTTCTGCTTTGAAGCCAGGTACACTAAACTTGGGAATTTTCATTTTGGGCATTTTCAGGTTCCACTCAGGACTGTGGACATCCATATCAGGTGCACTGAGATGGACATCTGGGGCCTGCATATCCATATTTGGACCTTTAATGTCTCCTTCCACGATAGCACCTGGAACTTCCAAATCTCCTTTGACTTTCGGGCCTTTCAGGTTTAACTCTACATCAGGCATAGACACTCTGGGAGATGAAATGCTCAAAAAAGGCATTTTGAACTTGGATCCTTTCACTTTTCCTTGGACTTCAATATCAGGAGCATTAATATCAACTTTTGGAACAGATACATCAGTATCTGGCTTTTTAATTTTGATGTCCACCTCAGGTGTCTGAGCTTTGGAGCCAGAAAAATTGAACTTGGGGAGCTTAAAACGAGATTTCTTTGACTTGCCTTCAACATTGAGTTTAGGCCCAGAAATGTCTAATTCTGGACCCTTTACATCCAGTTTAGGAGCTTTAATGTCACCTTCCAATTTGGGGCCACCTATATCAACATCTCCCTTCAGCTTTGAGCCCTTCAAATTCAAGTCAATTTCGGGCATGGAAATCTTGGGCATACTGATATGCGTGTCAGGTACTTTTAATTTTGGTCCTTTTATTTTGCCCTCTGGGCCATGGAGGTCAATATCTGCAATGTCGACACCTAACTCTGGGCCCTTTAAGTCAATTTTAGGCCCCTCCAAATCACCCTCCACACTGGGAAGTGTGACATCCACATCTCCTTTTACTTTAGGGCCTTTCAGGTTAAGATCCATGTCAGGCATGGAGATCTTGGGGGCTTTGATGTTCATCTCAGGCATCTTGAACTTGGGGCCTTTCAGTTTTGCATCTGGACCTTCAATATCCACATCGGGAATATCAATGTCCATCTTGGGTGCTGAGACATCAACGTCAGCCTTGGGCAGGTTCACATCCACCTCAGGTCCCTCTGCTTTGAAGCCGGGCATGTTGAACTTGGGCATCTTTAACTTGGGCATCTTCAGGTGCCAGTCTGGGCCTTTGACATCCACATCTGGAACATCAATGTCCAACTTGGGCCCTTTGATGTCAACTTCAGGAGCCTTGAGGTCACCTTCTACTTTAGGCAGGGAAACATCCACATCACCCTTCACTTTGGGACCTTTCAGGTTAAGATCAATGTCAGGCATGGAGATCTTGGGGGCCTTGATGTTCATCTCAGGCATCTTGAACTCGGGGCCCTTCAGTTTCACATCTGGACCTTCGATATCTATATCAGGAACCTCAATGTCCACCTTTGGTACTGAGACATCAATGTTGGCCTTTGGCAGGTTCATGTCCACCTCAGGTCCCTCAGCTTTCAAGGTAGGCATGCTGAACTTGGGCATCTTTAGCTTGGGCATCTTCAGGTGCCAGTCGGGGCCATGAACATCCACATCTGGAACATCGACATCCACTTTCGGGCCTTTAATATCCACTTCAGGAACTTTAATTTCACCTTCCACATTGGGAAGAGACACATCCACATCACCCTTCATTTTTGGACCTTTCAGGTTTAAGTCAAAGTCAGGCACAGAGATCTTGGGGGCATTGATGTTCATCTCAGGCATCTTGAATTTGGGGCCCTTCAGTTTCACATCTGGACCTTCAATATCCACATCAGGAATATCAGTGTCCACCTTGGGTGCTGAGACGTCAATATTGCCCTTAGGCAGGTTCACGTCCACATCAGGGACCTCTGCTTTGAAGCCAGGCATGCTGAACTTGGGCATTTTCACTTTGGGCATCTTCAGGTGCCAATCGGGTCCTTTAACATCCACATCTGGAACATCAATGTCCACCTTGGGCCCTTTGATATCAACATCCGGAACTTTCATTTCACCCTCTACTTTGGGCAGAGACACATCCATATCTCGTTTCATTTTAGGGCCTTTCAGATTAAGATCAATGTCAGGCATGGATATCTTGGGGGCCTTGATGTTCATCTCAGGCATCTTGAACTTAGGATGTTTTAGTTTTCCCTCTAGTCCATCAGTGTCAACATCTGGCCCACTGAGATCCACAGATGGCCCTTTAAACTCTCCTTCTAATTTGGGAACATCTACATCTGCCTCACCCTTTATCTTGGGACCCTTTAAGTGTAAATCAATGTCTGGCATGGAGATTTTGGGAGGTTTAAAGTGCATGTCTGGCATCTTAAACTTAGGACTTTTCCATTTGCCATCTGGGCCTTCCACAGCTACATCCGGCATCTCGGCATCCAGTTTGGGGCCCTTGACATCCAGTTCAGGACCCTTGAACTCCCCCTCAAGGTTGGAAGCAGAGATGTCAATGTCTCCTTTGGTTTTGTGTCCCTTTAAATTGAAATCCACATCAGGCATGGAAATCTTGGGGGCCTTGAAGTGCATGTCTGGCATCTTGAACTTGGGACCTTTCAACTTTGGGTCAGGACACTGAAGATCAACATCAGGCACCTCCAAATCCACACTTGGTCCTTCTAAATCTCCTTCCAATTTTGGCACAGTCACATCTATGTCCCCCTTGACTTTAGGTCCTTTCAGGTGTAAGTCCACATGCGGCATGGAGATCTTGGGGGCCTTGATGCTCGTCTCAGGCATCTTCAACTTGGGACCCTTCAGGTTTGCATCTGGACCTTCAATATCCACATCGGGAACATCAATGTCCACCTTGGGCACTGAGACATCAATGTTGGCCTTCGGCAGGTTCACATCCACCTCGGGTCCCTCTGCTTTGAAGCCAGGCATGCTAAACTTGGGCATTTTCACCTTGGGCATCTTTAGGTGCCAATCGGGGCCTTTAACATCCATATCTGGAACATCAATGTCCACCTTGGGCCCCTTGAGGTCCACATCTGGCATCTTTACTTCACCTTCTACCTTGGGAATACCCACGTCCACGTCCCCCTTGATTTTAGGGCCCTTCAAGTGTAAGTCCACATCAGGCATGGAGATCTTGGGAGCCTTGAAATGCATGTCTGGCATCTTGAACTTAGGCCCTTTCAACTTTGGGTCAGGACACTGCAGATCAACATCGGGCATCTCCACATCCACACTGGGGCCTTTGATTCCAACTTGTGGACCTCTGAAGTCACCTTCGACTTCTGGGACAGAAGCATCTATCTCTCCTTTCAGCTTAGTTCCCTTTAAATTTAAATCCACATCTTGCATGGACACCTTAGGAGCCTTGATATTTAACTTTGGCATCTTAAATTTGGAGCCTTTCAATTTTGCTTCTGGCACTTCCATATCCAAATCAGGGCCTTCAATGTCCACCTTGGGCACTGAGACATCAATGTCGGCCTTGGGCAAGGTCACATCCATGTCAGGTCCTTCTGCTTTGAAGCTGGGCATGCTGAACCTGGGCATCTTTAACTTGGGCATCTTCAGGTGCCAGTCAGGGCCATGAACATCCACATCTGGAACATCGACATCCACTTTTGGGCCTTTAATATCCACTTCAGGAACTTTAATTTCACCTTCCACATTGGGAAGAGACACATCCACATCACCCTTAATTTTTGGACCTTTCAGGTTAACATCAATGTCAGGCATGGAGATCTTGGGGGCCTTGATGTTCATCTCTGGCATCTTGAACTTGGGGCCCTTCAGTTTTGCATCTGGACCTTCGATATTCACATCAGGAATATCAATGTCCATCTTGGGTGCTGAGACATCAACATCAGCCTTGGGCAGGTTCACATCCACCTCAGGTCCCTCTGCTTTGAAGCCAGGCATGCTGAACTTGGGCATTTTCACCTTGGGCATCTTCAAGTGCCAGTCGGGGCCTTTAACATCCACATCTGGAACATCAATGTCCAACTTGGGCCCTTTGATGTCAACTTCAGGACCCTTGAGGTCACCTTCTACTTTAGGCAGGGAAACATCCACATCACCCTTCACTTTGGGTCCTTTCAGATTAAAATCAACGTCAGGCATGGAGATCTTGGGGGCTTTGATGTTCATCTCAGGCATCTTGAACTTGGGGCCCTTCAGTTTTGCATCTGGACCTTTGATATTCACATCAGGAACATCAACGTCCATCTTGGGTGCTGAGACATCAATGTCAGCCTTGGGCAGGTTCACATCCACCTCAGGGCCCTCTGCTTTGAAGCCAGGCATGCTGAACTTCGGCATCTTTACCTTGGGCATCTTCAGGTGCCAGTCAGGGCCTTTAACATCCACATCTGGAACATCAATGTCCAACTTAGGCCCTTTGACATCAACATCTGGAACTTTCATTTCACCCTCTACTTTGGGCAGAGAAACATCCACATCTCCTTTTACTTTAGAGCCTTTCAGGTTAAGATCAATGTCAGGCATGGAGATCTTGGGGGCCTTGATGTTCATCTCAGGCATCTTGAACTTGGGGCCCTTCAGTTTTGCATCAGGACCTTCGATATTCACATCAGGAACATCAATGTCCATCTTGGGTGCTGAGATATCAACGTCACCCTTGGGCAGGTTCACATCCATCTCAGGTCCCTCTGCTTTGAAGCCGGGCATGCTAAACTTGGGCATTTTCACCTTGGGCATCTTCAGGTGCCAGTCGGGGCCTTTGACATCCACATCTGGAACATCAATGTCCAACTTGGGCCCTTTGATGTCAACTTCAGGAGCCTTGAGGTCACCTTCTACTTTAGGCAGGGAAACATCCACATCACCCTTCACTTTGGGTCCTTTCAGATTAAAATCAATATCAGGCATGGAGATCTTGGGGGCTTTGATGTTCATCTCAGGCATCTTGAACTTGGGGCCTTTCACTTTTGCATCGGGACCTTCGATACTTACATCGGGAACATCAATGTCCACCTTGGGTGCTGAGACATCAATGCTGGCCTTGGGCAGGTTCACGTCCACCTCAGGTCCCTCTGCTTTGAAGCCAGGCATGCTGAACTTGGGCATTTTCACCTTGGGCATCTTCAGGTGCCAGTCGGGGCCTTTAACATCTACATCTGGAGCATCAATGTCCACTTTCGGGGCTTTGATATCAATTTCAGGGCCCTTGAGGTCACCTTCCACTTTGGGCAGAGAAACATCCACATCACCCTTCACTTTGGGTCCTTTCAGATTAAAATCAATATCAGGCATGGAGATCTTGGGGGCTTTGATGTTCATTTCCGGCATGTTGAACTTCGGACCTTTCAGCCTTCCTTCTGGTCCTTCAATATTCACATCAAGGCCTTCAATGTCCATCTTGGGTGCTGAAACATCAATGTCAGCTTTGGGCAGGCTCACGTCCACCTCAGGTCCCTCTGCTTTGAAGCCAGGCATGCTGAACTTGGGCATTTTCACCTTGGGCATCTTCAGGTGCCAGTCAGGGCCTTTAACATCCACATCTGGAACATCAATGTCCACCTTGGGCCCTTTGATGTCCACATCAGGAACCTTCATTTCACCCTCTACTTTGGGCACAGCCACATCCACGTCCCCCTTTACTTTGGGCCCTTTCAGGTGTAAGTCTACATCTGGCATGGAGACCTTGGGGGCTTTGAAGTGCAAATCTGGCATTTTGAACTTGGGCCCTTTCAACTTTCCTTCCGGACATTCAATATCAGTATCACCAATATCCACATGCATTTTGGGCACTTTAACCTCAACATCAGGACCTTTCAAGTCTCCTTCTATTTTGGGAAGGGAAACATCTGCATCAGTTTTCAGTTTAGGACCTTTCAGATTAAGTCCTACATCAGGCATTGAGATTTTATGTGTCTGTATATTCATTTTCGGCATCTTGAACTTGGGGCCTTTTAGTTTTCCTTCTGGACCTTCAATATTCACAGCTGGAGCTTCAATGTTCACCTTAGGCGATGAGATGTCAATGTCAGTCTTGGGCAGGTTCACGTCCACCTCAGGGCCTTCTGCTTTGAAGCCGGGCATGCTGAACTTGGGCATTTTTACCTTGGGCATCTTCAGGTGCCAGTCGGGGCCTTTGACATCCACATCTGGAACATTAATATCTACTTTGGGGCCTTTGAGGTCAGCAGCAGGGGCTTTGATCTCCCCTTCCACACGTGGCACTGTAACAGCATAATCTCCTTTGGCTTTTGGACCTTTCAAGTGCAAACCAACATCTGGCATGGAGATCTTTTGAGGCTTTATATTCATCTCAGGCATCTTGAACTTTGGTCCCTTCAGTTTCACATCTGGACCTTTGATATCCACATTAGGAATATCAACGTCCACCTTAGGTGCTGAGACATCAACGTCAGCTTTGGGCAGGTTCACATTCACCTCAGGTCCCTCTGCTTTGAAGCTGGGCATGCTGAACTTGGGCATCTTTACTTTAGGCATCTTCAGGTGCCAGTCGGGGCCTTTGACATCCACACTTGGAACATCGATATCCACTTTGGTCCCTTTGATGTCCACATCTGGAACTTTGACTTCCCCTTCTACTTCAGGCAGAGTCAAGTCCATGTCTCCCTTGACCTTGGGCCCTTTCAAGTTTAAGTCAACATCAGGCATAGAGACCTTGGGGGCCTTGATGTTCATCTCCGGCATCTTGAACTTGGGGCCCTTCAGTTTTGCATCTGGACCTTCGATATCCACATCAGGAACATCAATGTCCACCTTGGGCACTGAGACATCAATATCAGCCTTGGGCAGGTTCACATCCACTTCAGGTCCTTCTGCTTTGAAGCTGGGCATGCTGAACTTGGGCATCTTTAGTTTGGGCATCTTCAGGTGCCAGTCAGGGCCTTTAACATCCACATCTGGAACATCAATGTCCACTTTAGGCCCTTTGAGTTCAACTTCAGGGCCCCTGAGGTCACCTTCTACTTTTGGCAGAGAAACATCCACATCACCCTTCACTTTCGGTCCTTTCAGGTTAAGATCAATGTCAGGCATGGAGATCTTTGGGGCCTTTATGTCCATCTCAGGCATCTTAAATTTGGGGCCCTTCAATTTTGCATCTGGACCTTCAATATCCACATCAGGAACATCAATGTCCACCTTGGGTGCTGAGACATCAATGTTGGCCTTGGGCAGGTTCACATCCACCTCGGGTCCCTCTGCTTTGAAGCCGGGCATGCTGAACTTTGGCATCTTTACCTTGGGCATCTTCAGGTGCCAGTCAGGGCCTTTAACATTCACATCTGGAACATCAATGTCCATCTTGGGCCCTTTGATGTCAAGGTCAGGGCCCCTGAGGTCACCCTCTACTTTGGGCAGAGAAACATCCACATCACCCTTCACTTTCGGTGCTTTCAGGTTAAGATCAACGTCAGGCATGGAGATATTTGGGGTTTTGATGTTCATCTCAGGCATCTTAAACTTGGGGCCTTTCAGTTTTGCATCTGGACCTTCAATATTCACATCGGGAACATCAATATCTACCTTGGGCACTGAGACATCAATGTCAGCTTTGGGCAGGTTCACGTCCACCTCAGGGCCCTCTGCTTTGAAGCCAGGCATGCTGAACTTCGGCATCTTTACCTTGGGCATCTTCAGGTGCCAGTCAGGGCCTTTAACATCCACATCTGGAACATCAATGTCCAACTTAGGCCCTTTGACATCAACATCTGGAACTTTCATTTCACCCTCTACTTTGGGCAGAGAAACATCCACATCTCCTTTTACTTTAGAGCCTTTCAGGTTAAGATCAATGTCAGGCATGGAGATCTTGGGGGCCTTGATGTTCATCTCAGGCTTCTTGAACTTGAGGCCCTTCAGTTTTGCATCTGGACCTTCGATATCCACATTGGGAACATCAATGTCCACCTTGGGCACTGAGACATCAATGTCAGCTTTGGGCAGGTTCACATCCACCTCAGGTCCCTCTGCTTTGAAGCCAGGCATGCTGAACTTGGGCATTTTCACCTTGGGCATCTTCAGATGCCAGTCGGGGCCTTTAACATCCACATCTGGAACATCAATGTCCACTTTAGGCCCTTTGAGTTCAACTTCAGGACCCTTGAGGTCACCTTCTACTTTGGGCAGAGAAACGTCCACATCACCCTTCACTTTGGGACCTTTCAGGTTCAGATCAATGTCAGGCATGGAGATCTTGGGGGCCTTGATGTTCATCTCAGGCATCTTGAACTTGGGGCCTTTCAGTTTTGCATCTGGACATTCGATATCCACATTGGGAACATCAATGTCCACCTTGGGTACTGAGACATCAATGTCAGCCTTGGGCAGGTTCACATCCACCTCAGGTCCCTCTGCTTTGAAGCTAGACATACTGAACTTGGGCATCTTTAGCTTGGGCATCTTCAGGTGCCAGTCTGGGCCTTGAACATCCACATCTGGTGCTTTAGTGTCTACTTTGGGTACTTTGATGTCCATATCTGGAACCTTCATCCCGCCTTCTATTTTTGGTGCAGACACAGCTAGGTTTCCTTTCACTGTCGGCCCTTTAAGATCCATGTCAACATCTGGCAGTGTCATCTTTGGAGCCTTGAAGTGCATCTCTGGCATCTTAAACTTCGGGCTTTTCAACTTGCCTTCTGGTCCTTCAAGGTTCAGATCTGGAGCACTAATATCGACCTTTGGTGCAGAAATGTCCAAGTCAGACTTGGGCAGGGTCACATCCACATCTAGGCCTTCGCCTTTGAGACTAGGCATGCTGAACTTGGGCATTTTAATCTTTGGCATTTTCAGGCTCCAATCAGGACCATGAACATCAACATCTGGGGCACTGACATCTATCTTGGGGCTTTTGAGGTCTCCTTCTAGGTTTGGAACCGTGACGTCATATTCCCCCTTTGCCTTGGGACCTTTCACATGCAAATCCACGTCGGGCATGGAGATCTTGGGGGCCTTGATGTTCATCTCTGGCATCTTAAGCTTAGGTCCCTTCAGCTTCCCTTCAGGGATTTCAACATTCACATCTGGAGCTCCTCCTTCCACTTTGGGACCTGCGACACCTACGCTGGCCTGGGGCAGGTTCACATCCACTTCAGGACCCTCTGCTTTGAACTTGGGCATTTTCATCACGGGCATCTTCAGCTGCCAGTCTGGGCCCTGAGCTTCCACATGTGGGACATCAGTGTCCACTTTGGCCATTTTAAGTTCAACATCAGGTACTTTAATTTCACCTTCAGCCCTTGGCACTGTGACATCGTACTCCCCCCTTGCATGAGGACCTTTCAAATGCAAGTCCACATCTGGCATGGAAATCTTGGGAGCTTTGATGTTCATTTCAGGCATTTTAAATTTAGGCCCTTTCAGTTTCCCATCTGGTCCTTCAAGGCTCACATCTGGAGCACCAGCCTCTACCTTTGGCCCAGAAATGTCCACCTCAGCCTTGGGTAGAGTCACATCCATCTCAGGTCCCTCTGCCTTGAAACCAGGCACGCTGAACTTGGGCATTTTCATCTTGGGCATCTTCAGGTACCAGTCTGGGCCTTTAACATCCACCTCTGGGCCACTGACATCCACTCCGGGGCCTCTCACATCAGCTTCATGCTTTGCTGCACTACACTCTCCTTCTGCCTCCATTCCTACAGCACCCAAACCCATACCAGGCATAGAGACCTCAGGTGTCTCCATTCCCACCTTGGGCAGCTTGGTATCAGGTCCTTTAATTCTGCCTCCAAGACCTTCCATGTGTAGCCCTGGCTCTGCCACAGTGACCTTCGGCCCGCAAACACTGATGTCCCCTCTGGGGACGGACACATCCATGTGCAAGGCATCACCCTGTACTCCTGGAGTGCTGATCGAAGGCATCTTCACTTTAGACATCTTCGAGTCCCACTCTGGGCCATGCAGCTCCACATCTGGGCCACTGACATTCACCCTGGGGCCTCTGACATCAGCTCCAGGCACCCTCACCTTCTCTTCTGCTTTTGGAAGGGAAACATCCACACCCCCTCTCACTCTCGGCACAGTGACATTTAAGTCCACATCTGCCATGGAGATCCTGCACGAACCAACCTTCCCTGGAAGACTGTCAAGCTTGGGGCCTGTCAAGGTCCCCACCAGGTCTGGAGCCTCTCTGTCCACTTTTGAGCCTTTCAGTACCACTTGGGGGCTCTTAATGTCACTCTCTACCTCATGAGCTGAAACTTCAATGCTACCTTTCAGTCTGGGGGACCTAAGGCTCAGATCCACATCCTGCATGGAAATTTGGGGTTTCTGAATAATCACTTCAGGAGTTTTCACTTTGGCACCCTTCGTCTTCACTTCCAGCCCACCAGGGGCAACCTCAGGCAGGCTAACACTCCCTGAGACCACTGCCCCATCAAGGCCAGCGCCCCCTGCATTTGAAGCAAGTGTGGGGAAGTGAGGGCCTTTCACCTTGGGCAGCTCTGTGCTGTGGCCTGGGATGCTGGCTACAAGGTGGGGGGCTGAGAGGTCCATGCCAACACTGCCCCGTGGTTCATCCCCCTTCAGTCCTACCTCGCCCTTGAGGGACGGCCCAGGGACTTGGGGGCCTTTAAGTGTCCCCTCTAAGCCTACAATGCTGACATCCACCTGTGGACCCTGGATGTTCCCACTTCCAGCCACACCCAGGCCACTGCCTACAGCAGTCTGGCCCTCAGGCCCTGGAGAAACTCCAAACTTTGGCATCTTCAAGGTGGGAATCTTAACTTTGCCATTATTCACCTCTGCTGCCCCTACGTCAAGAGAAGAGGAGACATGCTCTCCAGGAAGGTGGATGGCTGCCCACCCACCCGAGTCCGAGCCCTTTGCACTAACACTGATACCCGGGCTCCCTGCCTTGTCCCCAGGTACGGAGACCTGGACTTCTGAGGTGCCAGCACTCTGGAGCTCTGGCCCTGAGGGCAGCTTGATCATCGTCTTGCCAGACCGGGTCTCCACATCCACCGTGGAGATTTCAGTCACTTCGTGCCTTGGAATCTTGACGATGAACTCTGGGCTGCTGATGTTGATGTCCTTGGCTCCTTCGGGGGCAGTGACGTCCACAGTGTAGGCAGTGACTTTCCGAGTCACAGTGATAGTGCGGCTCTGAGTCTCCCCGGGGTCCCCTGTCACCCCAAACTCTGACCGCAACCGCGGCTTGATCTTGGTGGCATAGATGCGCTGGTACTCCTCGTCAGCCCCGCTCTGCAGAGACACGCCAGGCACAGGTTACAGAGAGCCCCCTCAACTACCAGGGATGCAGCACTGCTTCCCAGAAAAACAGAGACCACGAAATGCAGGGTCCCTGTGGAGCCAAGCATCAAGGCCACATCAGCCTCATCTAAGAATATTGGGCCTGAGTGGGGAGGAGCCATGCAGGTTGAGAGGGGCCTACAGGCCCCCACTTGCACCTGCGGCCATCTGAGCAGTCACAGGCAGGCAGGCAGGTTCCCCTGAGTTCAAGGACAGCAGAAGCTATACAGCAAGACCCCATCTCAAAAGACACAAAAAACCAACTGGGAACAGCAAGCCCCCCAGCTGCTCTCACACTGAAATCAATCTGCAAGGCCAAGGCACAGCTCCATAGAGGGCCACAATACACCCTGCAGGCAGGGCCCCAGCCTCAGACACACAGGACAACAATGTCAAGGCTCCAGATGGGTGCCACCTGCAAAGCTGCCCTGTCCCCCTGTGTTGGGCCCAAGCTTTGGGGCCACTGTACCTGCAAGATGCTTTACAGGGACCGGGAGAAGATTGGGCCGCACATCCCCTGTGCCCCAGCAAGCAAGCAGAAGCAGCTGGCAGGTAGGAGCCTGGGGAGCATGGGGCAGATGGAGCCAGCTGGGCAAGCAGCCCCACGGGGGACCCAGGCTGCTGCCACCCAGTACTCACCAGAACTACCTCTGGGCTGCGGGGGCCCATGGCCTCATGTGTCCAGGCCTGGCCGGGCTCAGGGGAGCGGTCACCTCGGCGGTGCAGCTTCAGGCCCACGGTGTGGTGGCCCACGGAGCTCAGCAGCTGAGCTACCTCCCCCGACTGCAAGTTGTCAAAGTAGATGGTGGCGCCCACGATCTGGTCTCCTACATGACAAACAGCCAGAGGTCAGGCCTACTGGCCCCACAGCCACAAGACTCCAAGTGTGTACTGAGTAAACTGAGGCCTGGCAATGCTCATCACCATGACTGATGTCATGGGGCCAGGCAGACCCCTCCCTCTCAGGTACAAGGAGCAATCAGTTGGGCCCACATGTATCCCCTCCCCCTCTCCATGCCCAAACCCATGCCCAGTACTCACCTTCCTGGACCACACCAGTGCGGGCAGCGGGTGAGTCCTGCAGCACCTCCTGCACAAACACGCCATCGGCCCGCTGTGCGATGGTCAGCCCGTGGGAGCCGCTGCCCTGCCAGTTGGGTAGCAGCAGCTCCCGAGTTGTCTCTTCTTCCTTCTCCATCTGGGAGGCACACTCAGGTCAGGCCTGTGCCTGTGACCCTGTCCCCCTTTCCCAGGCCTGGCCTCCCCACCACCACCATCACCACTACCACCACCACCACCACCACCACCACCACCACCACCACCACCACCCCGCTGACCTCTGTGTCCCGATCCTGAGCAGACACCGGCCAAGAGCCCGCCCTTCGTGCTCTCCCAAGGTGTCTGGCGTTAGAGTCACTCAGGAAGCCTGGGGAGACAGGTTCACAGGCGCTGCAGCAACAACACCAGATTCCACGCCCTATTGCTCAGCACATCCTCGGGCGGTGGTCCCATCCACCCCTATCTCCATGTCTTGAAACTCATAAGGGCCCCAGGAACAGAGCAGCTCATGAGGACAGGTTTCCTGGGCCGCCCAATCAGGGGTCAGGACTGGCCCTCAAAGCCACCTCGACCTCCCCACCCCAGCATCTCTGGCCAGGGCCGGGCCCACAGGCAAAGCTGCTCCACCACAGGATATGAGGGAGGAATAGCATACACTGGAGGAGTTATGAAGTGGGATGTCACACTTCTGCCTGGAAACTTCATGAGTGGCACCATGACACCAGGGGTGCCATGCCCAAAGCACCACCCCAAGAGATTCAGCAAAGGATGGGTGCAAGCAAGTGAGCCCCCACCACGACCATCGAGGTGCTAGACACCAGAGCAGAGCCCCACACATCATCACATCATCGTCATCGAGTCCCAGGCCTGTCCCAAGCCTGAGCTGAGAGCAAGGGGCTCTCCAGCAAGTACCAAGATTGCCCTGAGGAGCTGAGGGCAGGGGTCAGAGCCCAGCACTGAGAGTGAGGCAGGAGGATAAAAATTCAAGCTCAGCCTGGGAAAACAGGCCTCAAACTCCAAAAATGTTTAAAAATAGCAGGTAACACCAAGCGGTTTGGAGGCCCTGGAGTCTTAGGTCCACACAGCTAGCCTCAGGCAGACCCCTCCCCAGCCGCAGCACAGCCAGGAGCATCTGACCTCGAGGCTGACTGTGGACTCCGCCCTGCAGGAACGGACTGAAGCCACAATATGGCACCATCCTTGCCTTCAACCGCAGGCCCACTCAGCCCCTCCTCCAGGCCTGTGAGTCACCCCCATGCAGCCATGCAACTGCAGCTCCAGGGCTCTGCCGGTAACGCCCAGTACTGGGCCCAGACCCCAGACTCTGACTAAAACTCAGAATCCTGGACAATGCCACCCTCAGTGGGGCTGGGCCCTGAGGGCAGGGGTGTGAGTAGATGTATGGGAGGGAAGGCAAGGCCCTGGTGGCCAGACCCCAGCCTGGGTGGGCCTCAAGTACCCTCTCTGCTGTACCCTGTAGTGGAGACCAAACTGGGGGCCTCTGTTGCTTCCAGGGTCACTGCCAGCACCCCAGCCAGGCCAGGGAAGACCTTGGGCACTGTGGCTGGCCTGCACAGTGGCGCAGGTGACTAAATCCAAACTCTGCCTTTGCTGGCAACCAGCAGAGGCACTCCAAGCTCACCACAGCGAGGCGCAGCAGACCCAGAGCCCAGGCAGGAGGCACATGGCTACCCAGTGAGAAGATGCATGGGGCAGAGGCAGGAGTAGGGGCAGGGGCAGGACAGCCAGCCTCAATCCCAACCTGCCAGGGGTGCCACCCTGGGACGGGGTGCTGCCCACAGAGGTCCTCTGCCCAAGGTGGCTTCTGGAGAACACTGGCTCCCAGCCACTGACCAGAGGAACTGAAACCCCACACCCAAACCCACACTGAACATGAGCACAGCATGTTCCTCCAGGGGGACAATGGGATCCCATAGGCACTACACATTCCACACGACACACAGGTAGGGAAAAGCCAAGCCCACCCCAGCCACCATGGGAGTCCGAGCAAATTGCAGGTGGGGGCAGGGGAAAGCTTTGGGCCATCGAAGGCACACACGCACACATACACGCATGTGCACGCATGCACACACACACACACAGGGAACACGTGTCTGGGGGAGCTGCTCGTCACTCACACGCCGCACATCACACTCACACTGCACACTCACCACACAATACACACACTGGATACTCACACCACATACACCACACCACACATACTACCCACACCACACTGCACACTCATAACACACACTCACAACACATTGCTCACTGCATACCACACACACTGCACACAACACACACAGCACACTCACACACATCCCACACAGGCCCTGCGCTGACAAGGAGAAGCAGCAACAAAGGGGGGATGAAGGTCCTATGCTGGCCATGTCCATGCCAGGGCTTTGCACCCACCCCAGCAGCCTTTTATGGTAGAGCTGGCACCAAAAAGACAGGAAACACCCCAAGGCGATAGGGCCTGATGACAATGAAGGCCAACAGCAGAGGAACAGGGAGCAAAAACACACCACAGGATGCCCCGAGGAGCTGTGCAGGACGAGTCCCCAGGCACACTTCAGGGAAGGGGCCACAAGGACTGTGGGGTCCAGACCAGAGTGTCCCCGAACTCCGCTCACTGCCTGCCAGGTTCCTGGGGGGCCATGGCAGGGACCACACCAGTCCTTCCCTCAAAGAAGGCACTGACCCACAACACACTCAGTCCCACCTGGGCAGCCCCCATGGTGGTCCCTGACAACCACTGCATACCTACAGGGGCACCTGCTACAACCACCACCGTGAAAGTGACAATGGCAAGTGAGATTCACAGGGAGGGGGATCTAGACCAACACATGCATCTCCCCAGAGACCCTGCCTTCATTGGTTCGCAGACACCTATCACCAAGCCTGTGCCCTGGGCAGCCCCTGAGCCTGTGTCACCTGTCCTGAGAGAAGGTCTGCGAGGTTCTCACCTCCAGTGAGTCACCTGGCCCTGAAGAACTCGGCCATTCCGCCCCACTTATAACAACCTGGGAACATCAGAGCAGGATCTAACAGGAGATCTCAGTCCTGGCCATAGACACCAACAGCTGGGCCTCTCCAAGACCTCAGGGATGGGAACACCCCTTGTGCCGCACATTGGGACAGCTGGGATCCTTCGATGAGCCCCACCCTGGCCGGCCTGGCCTGGAACCGGGCCACGCTCGCCCCCAGCGGCCAGACTGCGCCAGTGCAAGGGCCCAGGGGTCCCCCAGCCCAGCGAGGACAGCTCCAGGCTCCAGGCCTCCGCCGGCCAAAACCGCACAGAATGCCCCTCTGAAGGCCAGGTGACTCCCGCCCTCCGCTGACATGACAAGCAGGCAGAGCTCAGGGCCACTGCCCGTCTCCGAGTCCAGGATGACCATATAGACGCCGCACACCCGCGGGTCGCCCGCTCCAGGCAGTGTAGGAGCCGCGCCCTAAGCATAGGCTGGGCCTCAGGGCCACAGTCAACCAACCAGCCAGGAGAGTCGGGATCAGCCAGGCGCCAGCCCTGGCCAGCAGGACAGGGCTCCCCGGAGCCTGCCCATGCCCACCAGACCTTGAGCCTCCAGTGCTCTGGCGGGGGCAAGCGGTGGTGAGAAGGCGAGACCCACAAGCTCCTGCGAAGGAGTTCCAAGGACCTCGGCCAGTCCCTTGCCCTGTCACCCCTCCTCGAACCTCGGGGTCGCTCACAGGGCCTCCCGGAGCTGGACTCGCTCTCCCGGTCTGCCTGCTCCCGGGCGGTTCTCAGGCTCTAAAAAAGGGTGACCACACCCAAGCCCACACACCTCCCCGCCCGGGTTCTGCTCGGCCTCAGGAACCAGCTCCTCAGGCTCTGCTCCGCCCGGCCCAGGCCGGACGCGACCCACTGCCCTGCCCCTCGCACCACTGCACCGGGCTGTCGAAACTGCGGGGTCAGCTGGAGACCCTAGACACCCAGGACGCGAATGTGGCCTCAGAGGCTCCCCCTGCGTCCCTGGGTATAGCCTTTTGGGGACACGGTTTTGGGGTCCCAGGCACCTCTCTGGCTTCCTCAGCCCGCAGCTCACAGTAAGCAGGTGTCCCCCAGCTTAGGCTCCCTTGTGCCTCAATCAGTACGCTCTGCGAAGGATCGTCCGCCCCAAGGTGCTGGGGAGCAGAGGGAGCCCCCCCTCGGCTGTGGACGGAAGGGGCTACGCCCTTTGGGACTTCCCTCTCCCCCTCCGCGTGGGTGGGGGCCGGGCCGAGCCGCGCCCCGAAACACACCGGCAGGGCCCCGAGCCCGGGCACGGCCACCGCCCGCCACCGCCGCCGCGCCCCAAAGTCCTTGCCACCCCAGGCACTGTGGGCACGCAAGACTCCAAGACACAGGCGCCTTTCGTGGGCGCCGTCGACAGCATCTTGCGGGAACCAGGGAGCCACGCGGGGTCTCCAGTGGTCACTCTCCGTCACGCTCAGAGTGGCTCGCCGCGCCCACGCACGACGCGCCACCCACGGAGGCCATTCTGTAGGCCTGTGCCGTCCAACGGCGTCGGTCACGGCGCGGGCTCCGCACGGGCTCCCGACCCCCGTGGGTGCCCCGGGCCGGTTCCGCGCGCTTACATAACTGCCCCGCCCCGCGCCGCGCCCGCGGTCTGGTTTGAATTAGTCACCGCGCATTCCTGGGGGGCGGGCGGCCGGGAGAGGCCGGGGTCCGCGCCGCGCCTCGTCGCGCTCCACCCCCCCAACCCCACCCCACGCTACGCCCGCTCGGTCCAAAACTAAGGATCCTGCAGCAGGGCCGGCCCGAGCCGGGTTCGGGATCGAGCAAGGGCGGCGGCCACCGTGAAAACTTCGGGGAACGCGGGCCCCGCGCACAACAGCGCCCCACCGCGCGGAGAGCGCAGGACGGGGTGGCGGCGGCAGCGGGACGGGGTCGGGGTCGCGATCGGGGACGGAATCAGGGGCAGCGTCCACCTGGGCGCACGGCGGTCGTGCTGCAGGCTCGCCAGTTCGGACCCTTCCCGCGCCCTCCCGCACGCCCCTACCTGGCTCGGCCTCCGCGCACCCATGGGTCGGGCTCAGGTTGGGCTCCGCCGTCCGCGGCCGGGCGGGGCGGGCGCTCGGTGCCCAGCGCGCGCGCAGGCGGCTCTTGTACCCGGCGGGCGGGGCGACGCACCACCCCCTCTCCTCCCCTCTCCTCCCCCGCTACCCCGCCCCGCCCCGCCCCTCCCGGCCGGACCGGGATCACCAGGCGCTCGGGGCGGGCGGACCACGGAGCTCCACGCCCCCTCCAGCAGACCCGGGACCGCTGGATATGCGGCCCACGCGCCGCGGCACGGCACCACCCCCAAAGACTCTGCGCCCCACCCAGCAGGCACTGTCCCAGCCCCTGTACTCCAGCCCCTGTCCCTGTCCCTGCCCAAGACCTCCCACCTCCCTCTCTGCAGGACTCTGGGTCCCCGGGTCTACAGCCGGTTCCCACAGCCACTCCCAGGCGCATGCACATCTTATTAAAGGCTGAGCGACGGCGCGGCCTCGGCCTCCCAGTCCCACCGTCCCGTCGCTCTCCTAGAGCTCCCAGCCTACCCCTCCCGTGAGGACCAGGCCGAGCGCCCTCCTCCCAGGCCCGTGAGTGGGCCCTGGCCTCCCAAATGGCAAACATGTTTACCGGCTAAAAATACCCGCGGCCGAGGCCCTGCCAGCCGGCCGGGTCAGGTCCAGTTACCCCGCAGGGTCGGCGTGGGGGAGGGGAGGAAGGAGCTGCCACCGGCGGCGTGGGGCACACACGCGGTGCGCAGACACGCGTGTGGCGGTGCAGACGTGCGTACAGGCACAGACAAGCGCTGGGGACCGGCCTGCAGACCGGTAGAGACATGCAGAGACCAGACGTGGCTCGCAGTATCAGCGACTGACTCAGCCCCGCCGCGCGCCACAGGGACCCGACAGGACTCCCCAAACTGCCTCCCCTTTATCCCTGCATCTCTCAGCCCCCCATTACTGAAGGGGGGGCAACCTGTGGGCATGCGTGCTGCGGCTAGAGCAGCTAAACTTCCAAATTTTGGGGCATATTTTTTAAAAAGCAAAAACCAAGAGCCATTTGTGTCCTCTGCCGTTGTCTTCCTGCAACTTTTCTTTCTCCTTCTATTCCCCCCTCACCATGGTGTCTTGGGCCATGGTCCTGCACTGCGTGGTCCAGACTGGCCTTGAACTTGCGGTGCAGCCGGCAGCGAGCTGCCCTTCTGTGTCATAAGACCGAGAGTCAGTGGCCTGTGTGCCTACAAACCCAGTGGCAGCTGCTGACACTGTTTTAACAGTAAAATCAGTGGCTCTCTCGAGCTCTAGGGTTTTTTTTTATTTGTTTTGCTTTGCTTTTTGTTTTTCAGTGTTGTGAGCTGGACTTGGTTGTGCAGGCCTGTGATCCCCTAGCAATGGGAGGCTGAGTTCAAGCCAGCCTGGGGTACATATGGAGATCCTGTCTCAAAAAGCCAAATTAAAAAAAGTGGATGCCAAGAGTAGAACCCTCAGGCCCTCCCCAAAGCTAAGCAGCACCCAGCCGGCCACTGCCCCACACCCAAGTGCCTGGAATTTAAACAACACAGAGGCAGAGGTAGTGGTAGGGCCCCTCCCCCATGGGCCCACGCCTCCGTGACAGAAGGATTCAAACTTGGAAAACTCATTTCTCGAAAGAACAAGTTTTCTGTCCCTGTTAGAACACAAGTTGGTCTACACCTATGTTTTCAGAGACAGTGGGGCTAACACAGGCCACAGTGGCTCAGTGCAGCCCAGAGGTGGGCTGGGAGGGCATGGGGGAAGGAAAGGAGGCAGGGGCAAGAGGGGCAGGGAAGGAAAGAAGGGAGACCATGGCATCACTCGTCACTCGGAGTCACTCACACGCTCAGTGCCACAGCACACAGCAGAAGTTACGTCTGTCCCCTCCTGGGGCTCATCCTGGCCACTCAGGGTCACTCAGGTGCCACAAGTATGGGGAAGGGTGGCAGGCTCCCTGGAGAGCCCCATCCTGAGGCCAGGCAGACCTGAAAGCCCAGGGCTGCCAGCAGTAGAAACACAGGCAGGGCAGATGTTTCAGGGCTCCTCCCCTCTGCCCAGGCCTGGAGTGCAGTGGGGTTTTCCTGTTGGCTCATTGATCCCCAGTGAAGGGAGAGTCTCAGAGAGGGTTAGCAACCACAAGACAACAAAGCCAAAGGTTGGTGTTGCCACTAGAACAGGGAGTACCTGCGTGTGTGTGTCTGTCTGTGTACTGTGTGTGCTGTGTCTCACTGTGTGCACATGTGTCTGTGTGTGTGTACGCGTGCTTTGTACCTGATGGACAGCAGTCAGCTTTTATCTCATTCATTGAGTGATTGAGCTATGCTGGTGATCAAACCCTCACACACGCATGGTATGTGTGTTCTACCTTTGCTGCACTTCTAGCTGCCAGCAGCAGATTTTCTTAACTTAGGCCCTTTGCATGAGCTTTATCCCTTGCCCTTATTTCTTATCTGAGAAAGGGTCTAAGTCACTAAGTTGCTCAGGCTGTGCTTGAACTTGTGATCTTCCTACTGCAGCCTCCTCGAGTGCTGGGATTATGGGTATGTGTCACCACCATCAGCCAGGAACGGTTTCAAGGTGGCATAAGCGCCTGCCTGGCAAGCTCAGGGTCATGAGTTCAATCCCTAGTACCACAAAAAAAAAAAAAAAAAAGAGAGAGAGAGAGAGAGAGAGAATGAATGCCAGGTGTAACTGGCCCCCAGAGGCCTTGCTCTTTCCAAGCGGTTCAAAGGCACTGCCACAGGCTTCTGGGCTCCCAGCCCCAGAAAGCAACTCCTGTACTCATTGTGGGCCACTGTGTACACACAGGTACAGGTACATGTGCACACAGATATACACACATGCGCACAGTTTTTAAGACAGCTCGGTCTTTAAAACTGTCTAAAGGATCTAAAACTGTAACTGTGAAGAAAGGCTGCATCTGTCCATCAGCTCCACATTCTGTGACTTTGTCTAAACAGGAGTCTTCTAGGCCCCACTGCAGCAGAGAGGCCCCTGGCTTCAGGCTGGCCCTCCACACCCTTCCAGGTGTCCCCATGAGGCCCTTCGAATGCTGCATGTCGTCATCGTGGGGATGGCCCCACTTCCCCAGGAGTGACGCTCCCTCCGGGGTTCCCTGAAATGCGGAGGTGTGTGTGAGCTGAACCTTGAGCTGCTGTGTTGCTAGGCAACAGCCTTTGTTTGCTTCTATTATTCACATTTCCATGGTAACCACCAAGGGAGCTCCTGGGCAGGCCCCTGGCCAGGGGATTCCCCTTCCCTCCTGCTGAGGGTCCCCTCCTCTGAAATCTGGTGCAGCCGGGAGGGAAGCAGGCCCACAGCTCAGTGGTAATCTCTGAATCGTGGCCCTGACAGGAAGCAGGGTGAGCAGCCTGCGTTGTGGTCTCCACAAACACCTTTTTTCCCCAGGAGCAGCCTTCTGTATGGCCTGCTCCAAAGTCCAGAAATGACTCCTCAGTGCTGCATCCATCCTGCCCCCAACCACACAGTAGACTCCTGGGCGACACAGGAATCCATGTCAACCCCAAGCCTTGTCTGGCTTCAGACTCTTCACCCTAACCAAACAGTAGGAGCCAAGTAAAATCATCCTTCCCAGCTCTGTGCCACCCAGCAGCCTGGATTAGACCTCCAGATCCCATGGGGCTCCTGAATGATCAGGTGGGAGACTGTCACACGGGCTCTCCTGACTCAGCGCAGACCCACAACTGGAAAGACTGTCAAGGCAGAACAGGAAGTAAGAGTGTGCAGAGGGAGGCAAGGGGCGGGGGGCATGGGTGCTGAGGGACTGAAAGGAGCAATATGCACCTAAGACTGGAGGAAAGAAGGGCCAGGAGGGACTGCAGGGCTGGGAAAGAGGGAGGGGAGACCGAAGAGCACAGGGCCAGCGGGGGCCTGGGCGGGCCGCTCAGGAAACCAGAGCTGTGGGAGGGCACTGGAATGGATAGCTCAGCCGCGCCCAGCCACCCCCCCTCACCCCACCCCACCCCCGCCCCAGGACAGCGGCCTCTGCCCCCTCAGTGGAATCTGCCTCCCTGCCGTCCCATCCACTTCCTCTGCCCGCCCCCGGCTCCCGGGAAGGGAGACTGCCTGGGATCCCCGCCCTCGTCAGCCCAGCCAAGGAGAGCAGGCTGGGCGGGAAGGAAGGGCCGGGGCTGCCCAACCCTGAGTCACCGAATTGCTGAGTTCCCGTCCTGAGCCCCACCTGGGCTGCACGCTGTCCTCTGCCCACCCTCCCAGCTGGCATTGCGGCAGCCCACCTTCCCCCAAGCCTGCTCCATGTCTCGCCCTTCACGCTGGTCCTGGGGTGGGAGCCTCTGGGGGCTGAAGATCTGCTAGTCTGGGGTGAAGGCAACTGGGTGGCAGCCAGAATACGGGGGCAGGATGCACCCTTGGTCCTGTCCTCTCGCGTGCATTCACAGGTGAAATATGGGACCTTAGGAGGCCTGATGGCCCCTGCCAGCTACATTCTGTGAGGCTGAGTCAGGACAGGGCAAGTGGGGGAGGGGTGTGTGTCCGGTAATCCCTGTCCCAACAGTAGAATCGATATCAACACCCCAATGACTCATCTGTACCCGTGGGATGTGGCATCTTGAAGCAATGACAGCCAGGGTCCACTAGTTGACCACCCCACCGTCACCAGCCGAGCTTCAGTCATGAGCAGCTGGCTCCCAGGACGAGGCAGCCCTGCATTCATGCTTTCCTCTCCCTGGGCTGCTCAGCTGATTTACTCCCCCACCGGAATGGCAACTCCAGTGCCTTCAGCTGCGGCCCTCCCCTGCTTCCCCACATCTGCCTCCAGTCCTGCCCTGTCCACTGACGACTGGCAGAGCCAGCCAGGCTGCAAAGGGCTGAGGCAGCAGAGGCCTCCCCAGGACGACAGCCGAGGTGGGGAGGGGCGGAGAGGGAAGCGCATTCCACAGAGAGCCAAGCCTGACAGTGGCCCGCCCCTACCCCGCCCAGGCTATTGTGTAAAAAAGGGAAAGTCAACAGGTCCGGGCTGCCCTCGGGATCCTGAGGAAACCAGGAAAACAAAGAAGGCCATGGGCCCTGGGTCTTGGGCCACGGGGCACAGGGCATGGGCCATGGGGCGGGTCAGGGCCATGGGGTATTAGCTGCTGGGCCACACCTGCTCAGGCATG